CTTTGCCAATGTTGTCCAGTGAATTCATTAGATCAGACTGTATTTATAAATGCCAAAATCTTGTAAATTTTCATAATTTAGTCATTTCAAAATTTAGAAAATAATTTTAGTACTTTCCAAGAATACACTTAATATTTTTTTAACAAAACAGTTAAAGTACCATTATCTTCTTGTTATTAGGATACCAAATGTCTTTGGAAAGAATGTACAGATTCATGTAGATTTTTATGATAGATGACACAAGAATTTTTCAGAAACATCTTGTATTTTGAGACCTGAATTAAATACTTTAAAGAAATATCTCACACAAACAAAACAAAGAGCAATACATAAATGATATATCACTCTGCTGTGTTTTCTAACAGAACTCAGCATGTAACTTACAGATTTTTCCATTGTTTTATATTAGATTAAGCCATATAAAACTGCAGATATTATTGTTTTGACCTACGAAATATCAAGTTTACATAGTTTAACTTAATTCTCAGTTGTATAAATGTATTTTACTTGCTCGCCAATTGTAAGCAACTTGAAGGTAAAAGACCATACATTATTTTCCTTTCTATCTTAAGCACATAGTATGCAGGACTAGAGAAATAATATACATAGGATAAATGATTGCTAAATTTAGACAAATGAGTGAATGAGTGAGCTGCTCTCAGAAATCAATACATTTAATTTCTGGTATCCGCCCAGGATAAGACAAATACTCCATTCAAAATAACACTGTCATTTTGTTTTGTATTTTTAAGTTGTATTTATACAACTGCAAATATCTAGATAACCGGTTATTAACATATTTTACTTTTCCTGTGGAAGTTGTGATGAATAGATATAGTTTAAAACTGAAACATATAGCTATAGAATTTCTACTCTTTCTGTTTACATTATATACCATACAAATAAAGCTATTAAAACTAGTAAACACTATTTCAGTCATGCTAAAAGTTATGGTATAACAAATATGTAAATTCATGCTCTTAAATGTTTATATTAACATTTGTACTTAAATGTTTATATGACATTAACTTAAAAAATATAGATATATCAAACATCCTTCTCGTTAGAGCTAAGGCAAATAGGATGTAGTTATCTATAGGAAAAAGACAAACCTGGTGCAGTGGCTCACATCTGTCATCCCAGCACTTTGAGAGGCCGAGGTGGGTGGATCACCTGAGGTCAAGAGTTCAAGACCAGCCTGGTCAACATGGTGAAAACCCATCTCTACTAAAAATATAAAAAATTAGCCGGTCATGATGGTGGGCACCTGTAATCCCAGCTATTCATGAGACTGAGGCAGGAGAATCGCTTGAACCTGGGAGGCAGAGGTTGCAGTAAGCTGAGATCGCGCTGTTGCACTCCAGCCTGGGTGGCAGAGCAAGACTCCATCTCAAAAAAAAAAAAAAAAAAGAAAAAGGCAATGCACAGTAGATTATAATTTAAGCAACTGAAAATTTCTTCAATCTTTTTTCCAGTTTTGCCCTTTTAAAGATACCCTTATTGTCACATGCTTTTTAAAAAATGATACTCGTATTATTTGTTGCCTATTAATTTGCATAGTTTTCCATCTAAACAAAATCTACTCCTCCAAAGCTTACAATATAGCCTGTTCATGGGGCAGAGAGCCCAGCCTGGTGAGCAGCCTGCAGTGTGGGGCCAAAGAGGGACCTACAAAAGTGTCTCATTAGGGGCTCCTGGCACTAGAGTCAAAACAAGAGAACATTTTATCATGGAGCATTGGGATATTCTAGGAAAAATAAAAGCTACTGTTTCTAGAGCTCCTGCTGTGTACGGCCAACATTTTACATATACCATTTTACATAATCTTCATAGCAATCCTGCAAGACAAATATCATCATCCCATTTATAACTCAGAGAATTTAAATAGTTTGCCCATGTCACTTAGCTGGAATCCAGGTCTCACATGCTGGAAAGCCCACCATGCATTGCCACCACTGTATGGTGACAGCCTTTCCATTTCTCCAGCAGATACTGAGCAGCAATTGATCTATGGCTGACATTTGTGCTAGTCCTCGTGCCTTGGCCTCAGGAAGCTTAGTGTAGGCAAGACACAGAATAAACAAATACCTTCCCAAATACACATTGTCCAGGAGTTATAAGGTACAGTATGGAAAAACCAAGCAGGGTCAATGGAATGACATGCGAGAATGGCAGCTCTTTAGATCAGGTGGCCAGAGAAGGCTCTCTGAGTAGGTGCGGTGTGAGCAGAGGCCAGCATTAAGAAAGGGCGTGAGATGTGCTATTCTGAGAGGCAAGGATAAAGTCCTCAGGTGGCATCCTTGGAAACACCCTGACATGGCACTAGGGTGGTGGCATTCAACCAAATTGTTTCTGTTCAATCAGATTACGTTCAACCGACTCACCTGAGGCCTACCAGGTTACTCTCAGGAACTTCTTTGCTATATACCATGTTCACCTCCCAAAGGTGGCACTTCTTGTGAGCAAAGGAAAATGTGTGCAGAGATCAAGCCTCGCCTTCCTAGCTAAGCCTGACATTTTGCCAGTGCGGTGTTGTGAGTGAGTATAACCCAGCTTTTCATGGAATCATTGCCCTGTGGAACCTGGATGGGGCTCTGGGTCTTCCTCTTTGCTCTGCAATTAGCTCTAGAAATCATAGCAAGCTGCCTCAGGGGTGAGCTTGATCAGACAAGGAGCCTTCCATAGAGCAAACAGTGCACTGCCTTGCACGAGGGCTTCCAGCCATTTTTAGAAAGCTTCACATGTCTGCAGTGCTGGGGGAGGCAGCCACGCAACTTCCCATCACTGGAACCCACTCATGCTTTCTCGCTCAATGTGGGCCCACACATTTTGGGGAGAATATAAAGACCAATAAAACATTTCAATTCTCAAATTTATGATCTAGTGGAGGAGACAGACAGTACTCCTACAGTGATAAATGCCATCAGTGGTGCACACTCTAAGGAATTATGAAAGAACTTGAGATTGCTTTTAATTGGACATTGAATCAGGTACCCTGCAAAATGTCTAGCAAAGAACCCAAGACTTAGTAAACATTCAATGCACATCAGCTATTACTCTTATTAGGATTGGCTTCACATAGGAAGCAGAATTTGAGGCAAGGTAGGATTGCCAGATAAAGTACAGGATGTCCAGTGAAGTTTGAATTTCAGATAAACAACAAAAAAAATTTAAGTGTGTCTCAAATATCACATGAGACATACTTATACTCAAATAGATTTGCTGTTTATCTGAAATTCAAACTTCACTGGGACACCCTTATTTTTATTTGCTATTTGACCAACCTAATACATCTGGCAAATCTAAGCTGAATTTTTTTTTTTACTTTTATTGAAGTATAATTGACAAATAAAAGTTGCATAATTTAGGTTGTACAGCTTGATGTTTTTTTACTTTCCTTCAAAGGGGAACTTCTCTCTGATTGGTGTTTTGATACACATAAACATTGTCAAATGATTACCATAATTAATCTAATTAGCACATAAAACACCTCATATCGTTACTTTTTTGTGTGGTGAGAAGACTTAAGATCTACCTTTTTAGCAAATTTCAAATATGCAGCACAGTATTAGCAACCATAGTCACCATGGTGCACATTAGACTCTAGAACTTACTCCTATTGCATAACTCAAATTGTGTGCCCTTTGACCAACATCTCCCCCATTTCTCCTATGCCTCAGGCCCTGGCCACCACCATTCTACTCTTTTCTTCTGTGAGTTTGACTATTTTAGATTTCACATGTAAGAAAGATCATACAGTATTTGTCTTTCTTTTCCTTTGTTTCTTTCTTTTTTTTTTTTTTTTTAAGAGGGAGTCTCGCTCTGTGGCCTAGGCTGGAGTGCAATGGTGAAATCTCGGCTCACTGCAACCTCCTCCGCCTGCCGGGTTCAAGTGATTCTCCCTGCCTCAGCCTCCCGAGTAGCTGGGATTACAGGTGCCCACCACTATGACTGGCTAAGCAGTATTTGTCTTTCTATATCTGCTCATTTCACTTAGGATAATGCCCTCTAGGTTCATCTGTGTTACTGCAGATGACAGAATTTCCTCATTTTTCAGGGCTGAGTAATACTCCATTGTGTATATATATACCACATTTTCTTCATCTTCTCATCCATCAGTGGACACTTGGGTTGTTTCCGTATCTCAGCTATTGTCAATAAAGCTGCAATGAACATGGGAACGCAGGTATCTCTTCAAGGTCCTGATTTCATTTCTTTTGGAAATACACTCAGAAGGGAGATTGCTGGCACAGAAACAGGAAAGAAATGGTATTTTTCATGGTACTTTATTATCTCCCTTAATTCACTGAGTACTTCCTATGTGACAGTCACTGTTCTGAGGGATTTACAAGAATTAACTCATTTATTCTTCATAAAAGCATGGGGTAGCTTATCAGCATCCTTATTTTATAAATGAGGAAACTGAGGTATAAAGAGGTAAAGTAACTTGTCCAAGAACATAGAGCAGGAAAGTGGTGCAGCTTGGATTATGAACCTAAGATGTTTGGTTCCTGGGGCTACTCTCATCTTAATATTTTAGATAGAGAAAAGTAATCTGTTCTAAATAAAGTTATAGAAAGCCTTCAGGGCCAGCCTACCACCAAAGTTATTTTTTACACACCAGATCACCCAACCCTAATTTCTGCATAAAGTGAAATATTGTTTGCTAACTCACTACTACTGGGGGCTACAGCTAGCTTAACTAAGCACCTTCTGTATTCTTTCACATATAGAAATATGGATATACCCTCCTATGCTCCTCTTTTCATTCTCAAAGTCACCCTGTTCCTGGAATGTGAGATCTTCTCCAATCGTTGGCTGGAGAATCAAACGCTACCTTTGCAACAGCTTATCGGAAGCGAACAAGCTGAGGGGAATTGAGCAAGAATTTCTGGGACACCAACAGCATAGGAGGAACAAAGGATGTAGAGGGAGGGTTGACTGTCTACACAGGACAAAGCCAATGATTAACCAAACCTCCTGCAGATTTAAATGGGATGGGAACTAGGAGTGGAGGCAATCCTTTCTTTCAGCTGGAGTGCTTCTCATGAGCCAGCCCCACCCTTAGAAAAGATGTTTTCCATGAGGATCGTCTGCCTGGTCCTAAGTGTGGTGGGCACAGGATGGGTATGGCCCTTTTCATTTTCTCTTCTTGCTTTCTCTCTGGTGTTTATTCCACAAAGAGCTTGGAGGTCAGAGTCTACCTGTTCTGTGTCATGACACACTCTTAGCTTTATGAACTCCAGGCCTGGGAGGAAAGCTCCTGGCTGGGATTGACACCTCAAGAATACAAGGTAATATGACCCCAAGAGGAAGATCTTAGATGGATGAGAGTGTACAAACTCACAAGGGAAACTTTAGCATCGGTCATTCAGTCTTACTACATTTTGTTTTGTTTTGTTTTAAAAAGGGCAAGAATTCTTTGCTATCCTTGTAGTTATAAAGCCTTGGTGCATTATATTGCTAGTTAATGGAATAAAACATTCTACGGTAAGATTTGTTTTCTTTAATTATTAATTTTTTGCTACTTGCCCATAATAAGCAGAACTTTTAGTTTTCGTACAGTTTTGCTGAAAGGTTATTTTTGTGTTTGTCAAGACAAAAGAAAAAGCAAATTAATTATCTTTGGAAACATCTTTGCAGTATCAGAAGAGATTAGTTAGTAAGGCAATAGCTTTTAGGAAGTAATGGTATTCTTTTAGATTATGAATCCATCTCTAAAGGTTACATAGAAACTTGAAGGAGAGAGGAACATTAAGTTAAGATAGTGTAGGTTTTTTCTACCGAAGCAGCAATTACAGGAGAAAGAGCTCTATAGCTTTCAACTTTCTTTCTGTCTGCAGTCATTAGTAAAAATGAAAAGGTAAAATTTAACTGATTTTGTAGATTCAAATAATTTTCCTTTTAGGATGGATTCTTTAAAACTCCTAATATTTATCAAATGCTTATTTAGTGTCATACACAGTTAAGAAATTTGTACACCTTATCTCCTTTAATTCTCATAACAACTCCATAAAATGGGTCTTAGGGTTTCCATTTGAAGACAAGAAACCTGAGGCTTGCAGAAGCCCTGTGGCTGGTGTCTTTAATCTTTGTGAGAGTGCCATCTCTTCCTGGGGACTTATAGGCATGTCAGTGTCTCCTCTTCTGGCTAACATTGCTGTTGCTCTCTTTTGGGTATGTAAATGAATCTTTAAAGACTGCAGATACTGGTGACGGTGACTTTCTAACTGAAGGAGGAGGCGTGCGTGGCCCAAGGGTTGTGGAAAGGCATCAATCTGCCTGCAAAGATTCAGACTGGCCCTTCTGCTCTGATGAAGACTGGGTAAGCAGTTAGCTGGGGAAGCAGGAAATTCCTTCCCTCTGTTGCTAGAGGGGCTCACAGGCTGACCTGATTGGTCCCAGAAACTTTTTAAAATAGAAAATAATTGAATAGCTCCCTACATACCAAATAAAGAAAAGGAACCTACTAGCAAGAGCACTGTTTAATTACCTCCCCAACTCTGGATCATTAGTGGGTGAACAGACAGGATTTCAGTTGCATGCTCAGGCAAAACGAGGCACCTGAGTATAGTGGCCTCAATTTCCTGGCATCTAATTTATGGCTAAGTGGAACGTCATTCCAGAATTTCTCTGCAACCTCTAACTAGTCCTCTTACCTACTTTTAAGCCAACTTGTCTGGAAGAGGTAGGAAGAAATGGGGACTGCATGGAAACATGCAAAATTATTCTGAATCCAAGAGCTAGATCCTTACTGTAATTTTCTCTCTTCACTTTCAGAACTACAAATGCCCTTCCGGCTGCAGGATGAAAGGGTTGATTGATGAAGTCAATCAAGATTTTACAAACAGAATAAATAAACTCAAAAATTCACTACTTGACTATCAGAAGAACAATAAAGATTCTAACTCAGTGACCACTAATATAATGGAAATTTTGAGAGGCGATCTTGTCTCATCCAATAGTAAGTATTACATGTTTATTGCTTTGATTTTGTAACAGAAACAACAAAGATCCTAAATAAATATGATATCTGCTTATATCTATGACAATTTCATCCCAAAGTACTTAGTGTAGAAATACATGCCTTCATAACATCCCTGAAAATTTTAAGGGGGAGCTTTTGTTTTTGCTATTTTTTCAAAGTAAAAGATGTTAACTGAGATTGTTTAAGGTCACAAAATAAGTCAGAATTTTGGATTAAAAACAAGAATTTAAGTGTGTTCTTTTCAACGGTATATACTGAAAGTAGGATGGGTCAGACTCTGAGTTGGATATTTTTGTTTCTGCCTTGCAGAGGTGAAAACTGACAGGTCAAGGAACTTATTCAAAGACACAAAGCTGGGAGTTCAACCCTCAGACTCCACTGAGCTGATTAGGTAGATTTTTAACTTTAAAATATAGGGTCAAGCTACATCATTTTCAGCGTCTACTCATTAGGGTTAGGAAACATCGCATTCACTCTGGTCATGGACAGCGAGTCTAGGGAGGCCTCAGTTTCTGAAGTTTTGCTTTACCTTTTTACACCTTCACAGACACTTGACATTTAAAATCAGTGATGCAACACTAGCTGGCAAGTGAGTGATCCTGTTGACCCAAAACAGCTTAGGAACAATTTCAAATCTATAGATAAAAAGAAAAATTCATCAGTAAGAAAATCCAATATGTTCAAGTCCCTTGATTAAGGATATTATAAAATATTTGGAATGCAATCAAATCAATTATTTTAACTCCAAATTACACCTTTAAAATTCCAAAGAAATTTCTTCTATATTTATTTGAGATTACTAATTCCTAATAGGACATCTTAACTGGGATTCATGGATGGCTGCAGGGCATAACATTATCCAAAAGTCAAATGTCCCATAGGTTTTGAATTCACAGATTAAACTGTAACCAAAATAAAATTGGGAATATTTGCAAGCTAGCTTCTTTCTTTCTTTCTTCCTTCCTTTCCTCCTTTCCTCCCTTCCTCCCTTCCTCCCTTCCTCTCTTTCTCTCTTTCTTTCATCTCTCTCTCTCCTTCCTTCCTTTCTTTTTTGCTGGCAATTGCAGACAAATCACTCAGCAGCTACTTCAATAACCATATTTTCTATTTCAGACCGTGATAATACCTATAACCGAGTGTCTGAAGATCTGAGAAGCAGAATTGAAGTCCTGAAGCGCAAAGTCATAGAAAAAGTACAGCATATCCAACTTCTGCAGCAAAATGTTAGGTCTCAATTGGTTGATATGAAAAGACTGGAGGTAAGTATGTGGCTGTGGTCCCAGACTTCCTTGTTTATGAGTAGCAGGGAAAAGGAAGGCGATAGTTATGCACTGAGTGTCTACTATATGCAGAGAAAAGTGTTATATCCATCATCTACCTAAAAGTAGATATTATTTTCCTCACTCAACAGTTGAAGAAAAAAAATTCAGAGATATTAAGTAAATTTCCCAATGGTACATAGATAGTAAATTTCAAAATCAAGTGTTCAGTCCCTGTCTAATTCCAAAGCCCGTTACATCACCATGCCTCTGAGTCTTCAGCCTGAGTTTCACCAAGGATCATTTAATTAGCGTTTCCTTTGAGAGGGAATAGCACCTTACTCTTGATCCATTCTGAGACTAAGATGATCAAAGAGCATTTATTGCTTATCCTGGCTAGCCCTGCAATACCCAACATCTCTTCCACTGAGGGTGCTCGATAAGCAGAAAACAGAGAATATTAAGTGGTAGGTCTCCAAGTCAAAAAAAAATGAAACCAGTTTCCAGAAGGAAAATTAACTATCAGAAACTCAATAGACATAATTTATGTATTTGTATCTACATTTTCTCTTTATTTTTCTCCCCGCTCTCTAGGTGGACATTGACATTAAGATCCGATCTTGTCGAGGGTCATGCAGTAGGGCTTTAGCTCGTGAAGTAGATCTGAAGGACTATGAAGATCAGCAGAAGCAACTTGAACAGGTCATTGCCAAAGACTTACTTCCCTCTAGAGATAGGCAACACTTACCACTGATAAAAATGAACCCAGTTCCAGACTTGTTTCCCCCGAATTTCAAGAGCCAGCTTCAGAAGGCATCCCCAGAGTGGAAGGCATTAACAGACGTGCAGCAGATGAGAATGGAGTTAGAGAGACCTGGTGGAAATGAGGTTACCCGAGTAGACTCCTCTTATGGAACAGGATCAGAGACAGAAAGCCCCAGGAAACCTAGCAGTGCTGGAAGCTGGAACCCTGGGAGCTCTGGACCAGGAAGTACTGGACACCAAAACCCTGGGAGCTCTGGACCAGGAAGTACTGGACCCTGGAAACCTGGGAGCTCTGGACCTGGAAGTACTGGAACCTGGAACCCTGGGAGCTCTGGACCTGGAGGTACTGGAACCTGGAACCCTGGGAGCTCTGGAACTGGAAGTACTGGAACCTGGAACCCTGGGAGCTCTGGAACTGGAAGTACTGGAACCTGGAACCAAAACACTGGGAGCCCTAGACCTGGTAGTACCGAAACCTGGAATCCTGGCAGCTCTGGACATGGAAGTGCTGGGCACTGGAGTTCTGAGAGCTCTGTATCTAGTAGTACTGGACATTGGCACTCTGGATCTGGAAGTTTTAGGCCAGATAGCTCAGGCTCTGGGAACACCAGGCCTACCAACCCAGACTGGGGCATGGTTGAAGAGGTGCCAGGAAATGTAAGTCCAGGGACAAACAGAGAGTACCACACAGATAAACTGGTCACTTCTAAAGGAGACAAAGAGCTTGTGGTTGGTAAAGAGAAGGTCACCTCTGGTAGCACAACCACCACACGTCGTTCATGCTCTAAAACTGTTACTAAGACTGTTATTGGTCCTGATGGTAACAAAGAAGTTACCAAAGAAGTGGTGACCTCCGAAGATGGTTCTGACTGTCCTGAGGCAATAGATTTAGGCATAGGTACTCTGGATGAGTTCCGCCATAGGCACCCTGATGCAGCTGCCTTCTTTGACACTGCCTCAACCGGAAAAACATTTCCAGGTTTCTTTCCACCTATGTTCAGAGAGTTTGCCAGTGAGACTGAGTCAATGGGTTCAGAATCTGGTACCTTCACAAATACAAAGGGAACCAGTTCTCATCACTCTGGGGTAGCTGAATTCCCTTCCAGTGGTAAAACTTCAAGTCATAGCAAACAATTTATTAGTAGCACAGCTTACAACAGAGAAGGCTCCACATTTGAAAGCAAGAGTTATAAAATGGCAGATGAGGCCGGAAGTGAAGCTGATCATGAAGGAACACATTCCACCAAGAGAGGCCATGCTAAATCTCGCTCTTCCAGAGGTATCCACACTTCTCCTTTGGGGAAGCCTTTCCTGTCCCCTTAGACTAAGTTCAATATTTCTGCACAGTGCTCCCATGGCCCCTTGCATTTCCTTCTTAACTCTCTGTTACAGTTCATTGAAACTACACTTTTTTGGTCTGTTTTTGTGCTAGACTGTAAGTTCCATGGGGGCAGGGCCTTTGTCTGTCTCATCTCTGTATTTCCAAATGCCTAACAGTAACAGAGTCATGACTCAATAAATACATGTTAAATGGATGAATTACTTCCTCTGAAACTCTATTTGAGCTTATTTAATCAAATTCTTTCACTAGTCAAAGTGTGTGCTATTAGAATTGTCACCCAATTGATTAATCACATTTTTAGTATGTGTCTCAGTTGACATTTAGGTCAGCCTAAAAACAAGTTCTATTAGTATTAATTGATGCTTAGCTACCTGTACTGGTTACTTACTATTAGTATGTGCAAGTAAAATTCCAAATCCATTTGAGGAAAATCCCCTTTGCAATTTGTAGGTATAAATAAGCCCTTGTTTGCATAAGTTCTATCCCACTGTAAGTGCATCCTTCCCCTATGGAGGGAAGAAAAGGAGGAAGAAAGAACAGAAGGGAAGGAAACAATATTTGCCTTCTTTAATCTGAGTCGTGCCTATCTTTGTAAAGTTAAATGAGAATAACTTCTTCCAACCAGCTTAATTTTTTTTTTAGACTGTGATGATGTCCTCCAAACACATCCTTCAGGTACCCAAAGTGGCATTTTCAATATCAAGCTACCCGGATCCAGTAAGATTTTTTCTGTTTATTGCGATCAAGAGACCAGTTTGGGAGGATGGCTTTTGATCCAGCAAAGAATGGATGGATCACTGAATTTTAACCGGACCTGGCAAGACTACAAGAGAGGTTTCGGCAGCCTGGATGACGAGGGGGAAGGAGAATTCTGGCTAGGCAATGACTACCTCCACTTACTAACCCAGAGGGGCTCTGTTCTTAGGGTTGAATTAGAGGACTGGGCTGGGAACGAAGCTTATGCAGAATATTACTTCCGGGTAGGCTCTGAGGCCGAAGGCTATGCCCTCCAGGTCTCCTCCTATGAAGGCACTGCAGGCGATGCTCTGATTGAAGGTTCCGTAGAGGAAGGGACAGAGTACACCTCTCACAACAGCATGCAGTTCAGCACCTTTGACAGGGATGCAGACCAGTGGGAAGAGAACTGTGCAGAAGTCTATGGGGGAGGCTGGTGGTATAACAACTGCCAAGCAGCCAATCTCAATGGCATCTACTACCCTGGGGGCTCCTATGACCCGAGGAATAACAGTCCTTATGAGATTGAGAACGGAGTGGTCTGGGTTTCCTTTAGAGGGGCGGATTATTCCCTCAGGGCTGTTCGCATGAAAATTAGGCCCCTTGTGACCCAATAGACTAAAGGAGTGGGAGTGGGAGCACTCTGGCTTCTTTGCTAGAAAAGTGGAGAGGAAATAAGAAAGGTAAAGCGTTGAGATTCTCTACAATCTAAAAAATTCCTAGGTGCTATTTTCTTATCCTTTGTACTGTAGCTAAATGTACCTGAGACATATTAGTCTTTGAAAAATAAAGTTATATAAGTTTTTTTATCTTTAAATAGCTCTGTGGGTTTGAAAATTTTTATAAGGATATACCAAGGGCCATTCAGTACAACAGGAAAGTGTCAGACAGAAGCTTCCCTCTCTAACCTTGAGGAGTATTGGTTTGAGAACTTCTCTTCCAATACCACCCAAAGTCGTAAGGCCACTGCAAACTAAAAAAGTTATTTTATCCATTTGATATGAATGGTTTTAAGCCAATATTTTAGGGTAAAACTCACTGAATCTAACCATAGCTGACCTTTGAAGTAGAATTTACAACTTATAATTACAATGCACAGTTTATAATTACAATATGTATTCATGTCTTTTGATATGGAGCAAATCCAGGAAGACAGGAGAAACATTCTTTCCTAAATAGAAATGAAAATCTGTCCTTTAAGCCCTTCCACTAGATATTGTAAGGCATACTTATTTTTTTTCCCAGGGTATAACCAATTTCTTTCAAAAACACATTTAAAATTTTAAAACTATTTATGATTATTCAAAAAGCAGACAATTCACACATTAATAAATAATCTCCCAAGTATTGATTTAACTTCATTTTTCTAACAATCATAAACTATATTTTGTGACATGTTCACTATTATTAAATGTAAATCGTTAATGGAAAGCATCTCACTAAGTATGATCTATGCTATATTCAAAATTCAACACATTTGCATTGGTCAATATTTGGTCCAAGCTGCATCTTTAATCCTGGTGGCCTTGCCCTCTGATTTTCAATTTGCATTCTTCTCTATTAAGATATATTTGCCTTTTCTCTTGAATATGTATTAAAATATCCCAAGCAATCCAGTATACCATCCTTTCTTACATAGCTTCTATTCTGATACGACTGCATTATTTCTCAAGGAAGGAAGGAAGGAGAGACAGTGGGAAGGAGAGGAGAAGGGAGGGAGGAGGAAAAAGGAGGCTATAGCTAGGGGCCAGAGCCTGGGGATCAAAAGGGAAATAACCTTGCAAATGCATCACATATGAACCCCAGAGTTCTTGAATTTCCTTATGGGGAATTGTAAATCTCTGATACAAACTAAATGCTATACCTTCAAATAGTTGGATACTTGGAAAAGAACTTCTTCAGAATTAAATGAAGCTTCATTTCTTTCAGACATCAGAACTTCATGCTGTCTCTATCCCCACTCCACTTTCACTCACACGTATGCCTTGACAGAATTTGAGTTGAGAATAGAAAACACTTTGTTTTCCCGAATAGCACCCTATTTAGGAACAGAATTGGGTCCTGGAATGAAAGTGATTATGAATGGGAAGGACGATTTATTTCTAATTATTTAGAAGATTTTGAGTTTGTCAAAGGATTAGATACATCTCTTCTAATTTAATAAATGGTAGTCAATATTAGCAGGCTCATGAGAATTGGAGACACAATTTGGTTGTGAGACAAGACATAACACATCTATATTCCATTTCACCTTATCTTTATTTTCTATTTCATTTTTTCTGAAATTAAATATTAATTTAGCTCTCTGACTCTCATTCATTCAGAAGCCCATTTCAACTCGGTTTTCATGCGATTACCTCATGCTTGAAATTGATCTCCTTAAGTCAACACAACTTTGGAATTCTAAATTAAATGGGCTGCTTTCAAGCCTCTTTCTACTTGATCTCTTTTAAACATCTGCTACTTATTTTGCCCTTATCCTGCCTCTCGGACCTGTCTTTTTGTCTTGGTTTCTATACCATTTCTTCCTGCCTCACTCTTTTCAGTGTTTTTAACTGGTAATTTCTTCTCAGACCACTTCTTAAATGTAGGGGTTTCTCACTGTATTTACATTGGTACTCATCTTTATCATTTGAGATTAGGTTTGGCACATCTGATTTCAACAAGACAGAAATTCATTTCTTGCTCACAGAAAAGCCTATGTAGGAGTATGTCTGCATAGTCTTCAGGAAGCCATCATTTTAATAAAAGACTTACATCCTCTGGTTCACCTCACAATCCAAATATGTCCTGTGGCAATCTGGAAGGTGGAGAAAACACTGAAGGGCAAAGGAGTACTTCCTCCTTTTAAGGAACTTTCTTGAGTGTTCTAACAGCACTTCTGCTTATATTAGCCACAACTTAGTCACATAGATGAGCTTAGTTGCAGGAGAAGCTGAGGCAAGTTGACTTTTAGCTTGAGTACAAGTCTATCCTAACTAAAATCAGGATTCTGCTAATAAGGAAAAGAGGGAGAATAGATATGGAAGTCTGCAATTACCACTCTTGGCCAAACATGCTCTCGCTCTACAGTGAGTACCCTTTCTCCTTGATTGATCTGACAATCACCATAGCTTCAACTACTATCAGTGGCCTTAAGCAGGAGACAGACATTAAGATTAAGTTAAAACTTCTTGGCTTAGAATATAAACTCTTTCACAAACTGGTCCATTTTCAACCTCTGCAATCAATCATTCTATACATTAATTACACTGAATTTCTCACTGGCACTGAAATACTAGGTCCTTAAATGATTTTCTGCCTTTTCATAAACTACCTAGAAGACACCCATTCACCCCTTTAAAAACAGCTCAAATAATGCTGCTTCTGTGAACCCTTCCCCAGTGTACCATAGAATGAATTGAATTGTTCTCTAGGCCCTCATAGCTTGTTCTTATCTCAAAAATAGCATATTCCATCCCTAACTCTAATGTATTTATATTATTTGTGGTACTAGGTTATGAATTCGTTTGGGAGAGAGCTCATTTATACAGTGTATCCTGTTCTACATAAAATGTCTCCCCATCCTAAGATTATATAGTCTTTCAAATACTTCCTTAATTTTAAAATGTTCTTTCTTTTTTCTGTTTTTTTTCTTTTGCACGTATATATTTAACCTATAATTTATTTTAATATGTCATGAAGAAAGTCTACTTTTGTTTTCTTGTGGATGGATAGCCAATTATACTGGGATCCTTTATTAAATAAAGCATTCTTTGCCCATAGAACTAAAATGTCAATTTTTTTCTATAAGATTTTCTCGGGATCAATATATAAACTCTCTCCTGTGCTTATACCTTCTTGCTCACATTTCAGTTACAGAGATTGGATGCAGTAGTCTCCATCCTATTCCCCACTTTTTTTCCTTTTTTTTTTTTTTGGTCTGTAAAATTGTACTTTTAATTTTTACTTTCTTTTGTTGTTCTGGGACTACTTAGAGAAGTTTTTCTTAATTTCCAATTTTCTCATTTTAAAACCCAATTTGTTATTTTTTAGGGGGTTAGAGTGAGTCATCTTTCAATCATTAGTTTTCAAGTATTTAATAAATATTGTTAATTTAACCAACTGTTTCATTCTAAGCATTTTAGATTTCCTTAATTAATTAATTAATTAATTAATTTTATTGCAGTGATACAATCACGGCTCATTGCAGCCTCTACCTCCTGGGCTCTAGCAATTCTTCCATCTCAGCCTCCTGAGGAGCTGAGACTACAGTCACACACCACCATGTCCAGTTAATTTTTTCCCTTTTCGTAGAGACAGAGTCTTGCTATGTTGTCCAGGCTGGTCTTAAACTCCTGGCCTTAAGCAATCCTCCTGTCTCAGTCTCCCAAAGTATAGAATTTTTAAGGTTTTCTTTGTGGACAAGTTTGCATTAACTTTTGCAAATGTTTCATTGGTGAAAAGAATGTATATTATCACATCCATATGTTATAATATTCCATATTACCAAGCCTGTCGATGGTATTATTTAAATATCCCATATCTTTTCCTTTTTATGTATCTTTTTTTAAGAGACAGAGTCTCACTCTGTTACCTAGGCTGGAAGAGTGCAGTAGTGCAATCATAGCTCACTGGTGGCTCAAACTCCTGGCCTCTTGCCTGGGACTCCCAAAGCACTGGGATTATAGTTATGAGTTTTTCATCATGTTTGTGTGTGTGTGCGTGTGTGTGTATAAAAAGACCTCACTGTGGTTTTGTGCATGTGTGTGGTCTTTGCCTTTTAGGAATTCTGCTTCGTACGGTTGGCTCCTTCTTTATACAGTGCATGAAAGTTTATGATTGTTATATCTTCTTCACAAATTGTACTTTCTATCATTACATAATGTTTCTCTTTTTTTCTGTTTCTCCTTTTGGAATTAAATTCCATCTTGTCAAATATCAATATTGTCATCACTTTTGATTTTCTTTTCTTTGAATTTGCCTACGTATCTTGACATGTCATTTCATTTTCAACATAACTTTTGTCACTTTGTTTGGAAGACTTTCCCAAAATAACAGCTGAATTTTTAAACATGATTTTATTTTACCGTTGTTTTCCCTTTTCTTAAGTTTTATATATCCCTTTATTTTCAAGATTTATTCTTCATCTTATTTAGAATAGTTTTTATAAATAATAGATACATTTTAAAACTTAATTATTTTACATTTACTTAAAAATATTATTATTTCCTCTTTCCTTAACTTTTACTCCCTTACTTAAATAATATGGCCTCCCTCCATTAACATGCAAGTTCTATTTAGGTTATCTATTTCAAAATAGTCCTTAGTTGAATGAATGGATTAATGAACAAAACAGATATAAATGTGAAGATTTTGCCAGGAAAGGACATGGTTTTAAATATTTCTGCTAGAGAGAAAAACATTGAATTGGGGTTTTTAATCCTGAGTCAGGAATAGAAAAAACATCTGGCTAGATTTTAATTTTGCCTCCAGGTAAATCTATCTCCATCCTTTAGCCTAAAGCTGTCTTTGATGTTCTCCTTTAGTATACCATAGTATATGAGAAAAATATCATAATTCTTCTTTTCTTAGGTGTAGAAACTTACACCTAAAAAATATCTGGTGCTTAACACAAGGCCTGACACATAATAATGACTCAATAAATTTTTGTGACCTAAGAAATCTAAGTGTTAAAAAGGAACTTTTAGGAGCAGCTGCAGTGGCTCATGCCTCTAATCCCAGCAATTTGGAAGGCTGTGGAAGGAGGATAACTTGAGTCCAGGAGTGCAAGACCAGCCTGGGCAACATAGTGAGACCCTATCTCTACAAAATAAA